TTTCTTCTATCCCTCTACTCCTCCCTTCCGTGTATTTCTACAATCTATTAATATATTCAGCTTGTCCTATTTTTACAGTGAAAGAGCTTCATTTTTTTTAGGTCTTCACACCATGCTAGATTTTGATGAGCTCAGTTACTTTTCGTTTTGTTGAAGAAAAGCTGTTACATAATGAAATTGATAATAATTAATACTAAAATATCTTTTTGGTTATTTCCCTGGATTCTGCCAGGTTTACCTCATGTATAGCCTTTTATAATATTCTTAATGAGTTAAATGACTACGCAGGACAGCGTGAAGTAGTAGCAGAACACCATGCCATGCCACTCTCTCTTCTCTGTTCTGTTCTGTTCTCAATGAAAGCAAAATAAATAAACTTTGGGAAAGGTGAATTTATTTTAACAATAAAGCTAAAAGGTTCTTCACACGTCCACTGGACTATCTGTACCTCCCCAAGGGAAGTATAACTCACGGTCTGGGAAACCCTGAGTTATATTATTCTACTATCCTCAAAACAGTGGTGCCAAAAGCAACACTAGATAAAAGATTATGACAAATGAATGATACCTTGTAAGTACTCTATAAAATGTGGGTGAATTATCTGTGGCAGCTCTCCATTAAGGGCTCCTGTGAAAGAATTCCTCATCACCCTAAGAATTTTTTGACATGTGTTTAATATTATACAAGACGCTTCCAGGCATTAACAAGGTATAGCCTTTTGTAATATTCTTAATGAGTTAAATGACTACGCAGGACAGCGTGAAGTAGTAGCAGAACACCATGCCATGCCACTCTCTCTTCTCTGTTCTGTTCTGTTCTCAATGAAAGCAAAATAAATAAACTTTGGGAAAGGTGAATTTATTTTAACAATAAAGCTAAAAGGTTCTTCACACGTCCACTGGACTATCTGTACCTCCCCAAGGGAAGTATAACTCACGGTCTGGGAAACCCTGAGTTATATTATTCTACTATCCTCAAAACAGTGGTGCCAAAAGCAACACTAGATAAAAGATTATGACAAATGAATGATACCTTGTAAGTACTCTATAAAATGTGGGTGAATTATCTGTGGCAGCTCTCCATTAAGGGCTCCTGTGAAAGAATTCCTCATCACCCTAAGAATTTTTTGACATGTGTTTAATATTATACAAGACGCTTCCAGGCATTAACAAGGTATAGCCTTTTGTAATATTCTTAATGAATATTACAAAATAAACCTTGAGAAAGGTGAATTTATTTTAACAATAAAGCTAAAAGGTTCTTCACACGTCCACTGGACTATCTGCACCTCCCCAAGGGAAGTATAACTCACGGTCTGGGAAACCCTGGGTTATATTATTCTACTATCCTCAAAACAGTGGTGCCAAAAGCAACGCTATGGAAAAGATTATGAGAAATGAATGATATCTTGTAAGTACTCTATAAAATGTGAGTGAATTATCTGTGGCAGCTCTCCATTAAGGGCTCCTGTGAAAGAAGTCCATGAATTCCTCATCACCCTAAGAATTTTTTGACATGTGTTTAATATTATACAAGACTCTTCCAGGCATTAACAAGGTATAGCCTTTTGTAATATTCTTAATGAGTTAAAAGACTACCCAGGACAGCATGAATAGTAGCAGAACACCATGCCATGCTACTCTCTCTTCTCTCTTCTGTTTTGTTCTATTCTCAAATTCCTGCTGATCTTACAAGTTTCTCTAAGGAGAAATGGTTTTGGACTTTCTGTTTCGTTTCTTTCTTTGAGCGTCGTTTTTTTTTAGATCTTCACGCCACGCTAGATTTTGATGAGCTCAGTTACTTTTTGTTTTGTTGAAGAAAAGCTGTTACATAATGAAATTGATAATAATTGATAACTAAAATATCTTTTTTTGTTTATTTCCCTGTATTCCGCCAGGTTTACCTCATGTATAGCCTTTTATAATATTCTTAATGAGTTAAATGACTACGCAGGACAGCGTGAAGTAGTAGCAGAAGAATTGGGACATAGGGTATATGGAGAACTGATGAGATATTCCCACGAACTCAAAACAGAAAGGAAACTGGTAAAGGATGGGGATGGGAGATCCAAGTCACCGTTTGGCTGAACTATCTTGTGAATGTCAGGGCAATTTAATTATTTTATCCAAAAACAGCAAAAATAATAATAATTAGATATCTCTTCTGCTTGGCCAGCTCGTATATATATATATTTGTATTTGTATTTATTTGTCTTGTATGCCGCCCACTCCCGAANGTCTGTTGGGCCTTCAGTAGTTTTTTGTTCTTTACTTCAATTAATAGATGTTCTTGACTTTCTTTTAAATAATCAGCCAGTGCATGTTTTGCTGAATTCTTTTTTTTAATGAGTGTATTTTTATGTGTTTTATCTTTGTTTATAGTATATGAAAAAAGAGCATTTATTGAATTTTTCCCCCCATTAGCTTAATGACTTTTTCTCTCTTTTCCCTCTCACATTTGACAGGATCAATTTGATAATTTAGACAAGCACACACAGTGGGGCATTGATTTCCTGGAAAGATATGCAAAATTTGTTAAAGAAAGGATAGAGATTGAACAGAATTATGCGAAGCAACTGAGGTAAGTTATTTGTAAAATTCCTATATCTTAAATTTAGATGTTAGCTGAAAATCATTGCCCAAATATTGTAATCGTGGAAGATTAAATATATTTTAGCCATGCAGTAAAAGCCAATGTTTTTCTATTCTTTTCAAATTAGTTACTACCTTCTGTAAATATCTACCTTGATTCCTTCCACTTTAATTCCGTCCACTTTGGCACAAGTAAAGACATGTTTTTAGTTCAGATATGCAAGCAAAAGCTTGTATAACAAATGGCATAAGGTATTTTGCAGAGGCCAGAACGAAATAGGTTCTTTTAATCCAAAGGCACCTAAAACAGTAGCTTTTTAACTCATGATTGATGACTGCTGTTACTCATTTGCTCTGTTTTAAACATCACATGTTTTTGCACTTTTTTCCATAGAGAAGGTTAGGGTTGTAGAGATCTGAATTAAAATATAATTGTTCATATTCAGCCCTTTTATGCTGCTTTTCGTGGCTTTACAGTATGTGGTGAAAAAAAAGAAGGCTTCAGTTTCTTAGGATTTCCTCTGTTATTTTTCATTGGATTATATTCTTCTGACCTTGATAGAATACTGTAATAAAGGGAATTAGTTATAGTTTTTTTTACTATGATAGGAAGTTGAAAATATTGAAAGTTGTAAATATGTTCATTGGAATTTAGCAACAGATGTAAGAGCCAATATGTTCACTGTTTTCCTGTTGTTAAGGGATTTTGTTGCTTTCATATAATGGTAGGAGTCATACTTGAGAGCTGAGAATGTAAACTGATTGCTGAAATATTTAGATATGATCCTTTACTCTGGACAGCACAAGATATAAGCAAACTATTAAAGCTGATACATTTTCCCACAGATTGGTGCTTTTTACATTAATCTTTGAAAAAAATATTGTGAGCAGTGGATTTTTCCCTAATTATAAGTTTCAGAACATTCTCAAGTTTTGTTTCTTTTTTTTTTAACATATCATTTTTTTAAAAAGGTCCATTTCAATTAATTTATGTTTTTGTACTCTCATCTAGTTTCATGCCTGCATCCCATGGATGGGCTTCACTTGTTTGCATGGAATAGTTTCTGGCATGCCACGGACCAAAGCTGGTCCCTAGACTGGGGGTTGCGGACCTGTTCTGACCCCCACCTTGCTCGTTCAGAAACGACAGCCACACACAGCTTGCAAAGGAATGTCTTTATCAGTCCCGGCTTTTTTTGCTGGCTGCAAGCCCAAAATAAACATAGATAAATTCTCTGGCAAAAAGTTAAACAACAAATGCAAAAACAAA